TTAAATTTAAAATCTATAAATATGAAGATTCAGAGTATAACAGTTTTTGGTTATGCCTATCATTTCAATGAATGTTGTTATAATGCTCTTTTAAATTTATTGTTGTGTTTTTGTCGGAGAAGACAGTAACTTCGTTAAGTCGTTAAAAATTCTTGGAATTAGTCATGAAAAATGATAAATTTAAAAATCTAAAATGTAACAGCAATTTTGCAAATATGCAAATTTTTAATAATTTATTTCAATTTGAGATTTTTTTTTTTAAATGTTGATTGTAATGTACTAAATTTATGATGAGGAAATGTGACTTGGAAGTAACATGTGCCTTTTAGCGTCAGCTGCTCAGTTCTCAATTTTTCTCATCCCATCAGCAAAGTTTTTTATTTTTCTGTTCATAAAGATTTTTATAAATACTGTGCATTTTAATTTTGTTATGATACTTATAATTACTTAAAGACGTTCTGTGGCAGGCTAATTTATACCGCATGCAGCACTTTCCTGCGCAAGTAGTTGCATTTTTAAAAAAAATCTTTTAATTGTATTATGTTTCTAATGTAACATGTGACTGATATAATTTATTAATTTTTTATTTAAAAAATCAAATACAATGTAAACTAAGCAAATTTATAGCATTTTTTGGTTTTATTTGTTATGTAGTTGAGGATTGAGTTTACTACAGGAATATAATTGCCTTAAGGAATCAAATGCTATAAAAGTGCCAGAATTCAAAATTGTGTAATATCAAATGTAAAACAAAACATACCATGTTAGAGTTATGAATACATTGCCAAACTTTTCACATATTCAGTTCTAGTGCTCTAGCCTAAATTCTATTTGTAAAGAAATTCTGAAGCAAAAAAGAAAAAAAAATTGCTTTGATTCATATCCTGAAAAAATAACTGTAGTGCTGAAGTAATAATTAAACAATGGATTGGATAAATTCTTTATTTGAAGAAATATTTTTAATATATAATCTTAAAGTAGAAAAATATATTCTACAATAGTACTCTAAAAAGTAGAGTCACGAAACATAAAAATAACTACTATTAAATATATTAAATATGGATGTAATGATAGTTGTCAATAAATCTAAATGTAGTAATGAAAACTTGATTTTTAAAAGTAAGACAAAAATAATTTTGCATTAAATAGAAAATAATTTTTTACAATAAACTTATAATATGATTTTTCTGAAAAATTCATTTTCTATTATGAAGAATATTAGATTTAACAAGGTTTTCTAGTTATAGAAATTTGAGATATTGATGGAGTAGATATGATGTACTATTTATATGATATATGAAATTATGTGATATTATATAATATTATATGATATATGATATTATATAATATTATATGATATATGAAATTATCTGTACTTAATTAACCATGTAAAGCACTTATGTTGAGAATATGTTCATAAATGTTCATGTATGTGTATATACATACATAAAATTTTCCAGCAAGCTAGTACAGATATTGAATTTTTTTTAATGACCATTATCTTTTTTTTTTACCATTATTCTATTGTTATACAATTATTTCTTGCATGTTTACTTAACATGTTTGCAATTTTTAAAAGTTTTTTTTAAATAAATGAGTTTTATTTGTGACAAACTTATTTCTTATAAGAAGAAACAATTGTTCAAGTTCTGAATTTAATTTCATATTTAGGTTCAAGAGAGCAAATATTTCCGCCGTGATGGTTCTGATATTCATACAGAAGCTACTATTTCTGTTTCTCAAGCATTTTTTGGTGGAGAAACTAAAATACAAGGCTTATATGAAGACATTGTATTAAAAGTTGGTAAACTTTTTTTTTCTTTTAATTTTGTTTACTAATTTTGTTTGATGGGAGAAAAATTATAGAAATATACTATAATGTGCATTTTTTTTTCTATGATGATGGATTAACATCTTGGCCAATTCTAACACATTTTCTTGATGCTAAGACAACTTTTTTTCGATTTGCAAAGTTATTTTTTCAGATATATATTCTGCAATTAGCTGTTACCACAGTTCTCCCTAGGAATAAAAAAAAAGGGCAGAGTGAATGAAAAGGGCACTTTGAGTTTTGAAAGGGCCTCATTACTCATCGATCATTATGATCCTCAATCATTATGATTACTCATTATGTTCCTCAGCAATTTTTAAACTACCCTCTTATACAATTTTATATATCTATTTCAAAAAGTAAATGTCACTCATTAACAGAATAAGAGAAAATTTTGTAGTTTATAAAAATTAATTAAAGACATGCTAACAGGTAATCACTGTGCACAATTTTTTTTCAAAAAAAAAGTATTCAAAATAAAGTATATTAAAAATAAAAAAAAAATAAATAACTGATAAGCAACTTGAAAGCTTTTTTGTATGATTTAAACTGAAAATTATGAGATAAGGAACATTTAAAGGTGTTTTTTTTAAACGATATTTATTAAAAAACAAAAAAAAATTTTAAATCTTTGAAGAATTTATTAATATATCTCCCCCCCCAAAAGCAAAACTTATGAAAATGTTGAACCAGTTGAGAATAATCCTAACAATAAATAAATATTTGCAATAGCAATCAGAATTAAACCAATAAACACAGATAATTTTACCTATGTGTAATTATTATTTCAACAGTGAATAAATTTTTTTAAGTGGAATATGAATTAAAAAATCAGTGTTTCTAAGGGATGGCGGAGTGTTTTGACAAAAAAGACACGTCAAAAGACAGACAGGATGGGCCACCCTTCTACAAATGCTTAGGGAGAGCATTGTTGTAGCATCACAACTAGAGAACTTAGATCCTTTACAGTTATTATATGTTGAAGATGAATTTTTTTTAATTCTTTTTTTCCTATTTTCATTTAGTATTTTAAATCTTATAATAAACCAATGATATCCAGCAATCAAAAATCAATGATATCCAGTAATGTAAAAGAATAAAAATAGTATCAATGAGCATCAATCATATTTATATGTCGCCCATATGCCAACTATTGTGCTAAATGTCTTATTAAGACTGTTGATTTTCTTTTAATAGATTTTTCTTATGAAAACATTTATAAGGCTTAATCATGGTTTTTGATTTTTTAGGGAAATTTTCAAATTTTAATAATAATTTCAATTTTAATTAATTTAATAATAATTTATAATTTTAATTATAATGGTGCACAGCTGTGTCTATTTTTATTTACAAAAATATCTTTTTAAATTGGAACTATGTTTTATCATTCCTAATAGTTACTTCCTACAGCTGTTGTTTTATGAAATAGGTTTTGATAATGTTAGTGATTCAGAATCTTTTGGAAACTTGTTTTAAAGCATTTAAAAGAAAACTGATGACAAAAGTCAAAATATAAATCTTCCAGTACCAATAAGCTTATAACAGGTTCACATGATGCAGAAGAGTAAAGGTGTAGTAAACAAATATAATCTTTCATGACATTGAATCAGCTAATCTTATCTGCTTGAGTTTTCCTGATTCATTTTTCTCTTGTCATTTAAATGAATATTAATCAACTAGTTTGTCTAAAAACAACATATTTTTGAGATGTAGTTAATTTTTTTTTTTAGATTCCTCCTGGTACTCCTTCACACAAAGTGTTTAGATTTCCCAATAAAGGGATTAAGAATACTACAGGATATGGAAACGGAGATCATTATGTGCACATAAAGATAAATATTCCAGGGTAAGAAACCTTCTCTTTATATCTTAAAAATGCTTTTTTTTATGTATTAAGAATTTTCCGGAAGTTTTTGTTCTGTTATTTTAAAAAAATTTCTTTAATTTTTTTTGTATATATATATATATTTATTTATAGCAAATGATTATGTTATGTTAATGTTTTAGCATATTAATATTCATTGCAAATTTTCTAATAAATTTCAGTATCCTTTTTTTATTTTCGCATATATTATCCAGGGATCTGTCCTGACCAAATTTACTGCCGTTTAGCGGTACCTTCACAAATTCAACTTTATGTAAAACAGAAGTTTCACAAAATGCATTTTCTTAAAATTTTATTTTTGTATCCTGTAAGAAACAATAAATTCTTATTTTTACCATATTTTTGTGTTGATTTTTTAATATAATTTTTAATTTTCTCAAAATAGGTACCTCTTAGAAAAACCTAGACAGAGCCCTGTTATCTCATCCCATCATATGACAAATTAATTAAAAAATTTTAATATAATGCAGGGTCCTGATGAAACATACTGTGTTCTGTTTTTAACTTTTTTATTCTGAAATTCTGATATTTTTGTGTGTTCAGAATGTCCTATTTTCTTGGAAAACAATTGTAAATTTTAAAGTAATGGATTCAAAAAGTCATAAAATTTATCTTTCAATCTGACATATTTTTATTTAAATTGTTATGCAAGCAAAACTCTCAAAATTTGACAGTTCAAATATCAGGTTTGTCTACTTAATCTATACAATGTTCAGGCTTATAGTTTAACTTATCTGCAAAATTCCTTGTTTCAAACCTTTTTGCATTCAGTTATTTAATCAATAAGAAACTCACTTATCAATTTTATGTCATCAAATAATATTATGAATGATTATTATGATGATGAATTCAGAGGTCAAATATTCATTATTTTCAGCAAATGCAGTAAAAATCTTGTTGGTTGGAGTTATGTAGTTTAACAATTATTGATTCATCTCTTTCATCTGATTTTAAAAGAAGCTCAATCTCAATCAACAATACAGTAATCATTTCATAGAATTTTTAATTGGTGATTTGAAGAACGATTATCTCTAAGATTACTTTTGTACATAATGTAAAGGGGCTAACTGAGTTTTTTTTTTTTGAAATCATTGAAACCCCTACTTTGAAATTATTTGATTAGGGAAGTCTTAAACCTGACTGTAAATTTTAATTAAATACTGGTATGTGGAATTATTAACCAATTAATGCTGGTTATTTTTTAAATGCTACAGTATAAAAATTTTCTATATATTTTATTAAAAATATTATGAGTTGTTGAGTGCTCTTTTTATAAAATTACACTTGAATCTTAATAAGCTTTTTATTCTGAACCATTTAATTTTGGAATACAGAATGTGCAACACAATCAAAAACAATAAAATAGAAGTAATTTTGCCTGTTAATAATGTATAATGATAACCCTATATCATATAACACTTCAGATTGGAATTTTTATTTATTTATTTTGAATCTTTAATATTTTTAAAAGTTTCAATATAAGTATTAAAATTTATATCTCACAGCATTTATTCCTTTACTTTTATTTATTTATTCATTTTTTTTTGTTACTTTTGATTTTAAAACAACTTGCAAGTTATAAAATGAAGATCTTGTGAAAGAAATATATTTTTCTACAATAATGAATGAATAATCATTAATTGAAAAAAAGGAAGAAAAAAATTACAAAAAAAAACTTGAAAAAAATTTTCTCGTAAAAAAGTATCCTCTAAATTCAAACTTAAATGTAATGTTACTTAAATCATTGAGACACTTTTCAAATAACTTAAAACTTAGAAGAGTCATCATGAAATGGGTTAATTTGGATTTGATCTATTAAGCTTACTCTAAATTTAATGAAATCTATTATTTAATCTAATTTAAACTGCATTTAGCTTAAATATCCATCTTTTATAAATACATTTCAAATTTAATGCACAATAATATCTAGAATGAAATTTTTAGATTTTGTTTAATTAATTTCTAAATTTTAATTTACATTATTTTTTTGCCAACTTTATGAATTGCTTTTAACAAATTTTTTATTATTTATTTTTTAAATTTTTTTGGTCTTCTTATTCAGATTGGGAATTTTAATGATTTTTATATTGTATTATTTTTCTGATTATGGCTTAGATTTCATTCTTCTTATTGAATATTCCCTTTAAAAAATTAGAGTGTAAATGAGACTACTGTTAATTGTTTAATTATAAATGTATGCAAACAGGAAACAGTTTAACATTGGCATTCTAATAATATTTATTAAAGGAATCCCATTTTTCCTACCTCTTCACTTGGTAGAAAAATAATTCCTCTCAAAATTGAGTTTTCAAAAGGAAACCAGTATTCATGGTTCCAAAAAATGATTCCTCAAAGAATATTAAATTTTTTCTTTAAGTAATCCGATTCTTAACAGTTCGTGATCTGTAAAACAGTACTCATTTTTTTCTTTTGCTCACTACATTTGTTAGACTTTTTATTATAATTGTTGTAGTTTTAAGTCTTGTTTGTATTTGCATTTATCACCTTTCTTAATATGTCTTTTTTGTTATTAACTTTTTACTGCTTTTTTTATTATTATTTTTGATTTAGTTATTCAACTCTTTAGTCATTATATTATTGATTTGATTATTCAACCTGTTAAAATATTTTATGGTTGATGAGCTGCTTTATTTTTCATCAATCTTTCCTTTTCATCATTTATATTAAAAAAGTAAACTAGAATAACTAATTGATGCTTTGTTACATATCTTTCAAACAATAAAATATGCTTCAATATTTCCAGGAAGATTAACAATTCGAAGTCAGAAAAGTTCTATTTTTCTCATGTATTATACTTCTTCACGATTACTTTATTTCTTTATAAATGTCTAAATTTTTATCCAAATTTATTTCTTTATATTTTAAAAAAATTATCGGTATATAAAGAAATAAAGATTTTTTTTTTTTAGTTGTGAAAATTTAAATGTGAAAACTGTGAAGTTAATAATGTAATAAAATAATGAAGTTAATAATGTGAATAAAAATAAGTAAATTTAAAAAAAGGAACATTAGAAAAATTTTAAATTTGCATTATTTTGTAGTTTTCAACAAAAAGTTAAGGCATATTTTAGTTTTTGCTGAATTAAAGAACAATAAAAATTAATTTTAAAATAGCTTTAATTGGGATAACTCTTTAGAAGTTAGCATCTCTAAAATATACTTAATAATTTTCACCTACATAACAGATAAGGTTAATATTTACCAAAATGGATTTTATTTAAGGTTCAAAAATTCCGTTTTAATATACTGATCCAGAAATTGAACTTACTTGATCTTAGTATTTAAAATTTTTCGTTATTTTACATTTTTTAATGAATTATAATGAAATATTTAATTTGATGCATAAATTTGTACAAAATATCTTGAATTAAAATATAAGTTTCATTGACATAGCTAGGTATTGAAATCTTATTATTGAAAAAACTTCAGTTACATAACATGCATAATGATAAGTTTTAGGCTTTATGAATACATTTTTATTTAGGCAGCCATATAAGATTTTTCCACCCTTTTATTATAGGAAGCTTGATGGAGTACAGTATCATCTAATCAAGTCTTATGCTGAATTAGAAAAAGATACTCCAGGCACTATAAGTGGAATTTCATCTTCAAAAAGTAAGGATTGATAGTCTGTATATAAATAATTATAAATTGTATTATCATATGGATATGCAATTTATATTTATTTATTGTATTAACATTTATTGTTTTTATTTATTATATTCATAATTATTTATATTTATTCATTATTATTTATATTTATTCATTATTATTTACATTTATTCATTGTTGCATTCATTTATTGTACTGTATTTAATTTATGTTTATACAATTTATAATCATTTATATACATCCAGTTATAAACTTAATAATTTAATAAACCATGGGAACATAGAATTTCACTTAATTTATTTGTGATTTTTATTTTAATATAATTATTTTATTTCTTGAATGAGGTGTTCCAAAAGTGACTGAGGGCTTAAAAAATAAATTAAATGAGAAATGAAAGCAGAGCTCATTCTAGACAGAAAAAAGGGCACGGTGCACAAGTTTAAAAAAAGGGCATTATTATTCTAAAAAGGCAATAATTTCTTTCAATGGGCTTTACACGTTCATTAAAAAACATTGTCAATTAGTAAAAGAAAAAATAATATTTTTCTCTTCACAAAAAGTAGCAAAGCAATCATATTAATTACTAATTTTTTATTAATAAATTAACATTTATACAGGGTTGTCACAGGTGACTAAAATGCAACTATTTTTGACCTGAGGCAACTATGGCAACTTTTTTTGCCTGAAAAGGCTAAAAGAGCAACTATTTTCAGGAAAAGGAGACTATTGGGAGACTTTTCTGTGCTACTAGCAATGTTTTTTTTTTAGCATAAATTGGATTGACAACCTGCAGCCTGTGGTAGCTTCTTAACATAATGAATTTTTTTTATTGAAAAATAAAAAAATATTGAATTGCAAATTTGAGTCATCACTTTTTAATGCTCTCAATTTGCACAGATTGTGAATCTATTTTGTTTCTCAATCTCCTTTTCAACTATGAAATTCTGCATGATTTAAAGAACCCAATTTTTAATATGATACTATGATACGTGAATTTCGAATTTTAATAATCATTTTTCAATATATAGATATATAATATAAAATATATATTTGCTAAATCAATTATTGATAAAACGAAAAATTATGTGAAAGGGAAAATTAACAGAAAGAGCATGTTTTTTTTTAACGAAAAGTTATTTTTCTGAATTAATTCTAGCATTTAAAAGTATTTAATGTTCTGCAAATATAGAAATTTTTTTATGTAAACATTTAGTGCTGGAACACTAAGGTTTATTTAAAAATTATCATATTGGCCATCAACTTGACTAAATGAACCATGGTATATTGCAATGAAGTCTTATAATAAAATTTTAGTCATGTTTTTGTTCTTATTTAGGCAACTATTTTCATAATTTTAGGCAACTATTTTCATGTTTTAGGCTACTAGAAGCAACTATTTTGTTCATTTTTTTCTGTGGCAACCCTGTATATATCGAGTTAATGAGCTAATTAGCTTAGTAATTTGTTTAAAATGCATGCATATATTAATAAAATTATAAATGTATGTTTTTAAGTGTCTGTAGTTATGATTTAATAATTAAAATGATTAATAATAATTATGATTTAATGATAGTGGAAGTAACTGCAAACTTTCAAAGACAAGTGCAAGAAGGGGTGTGATGGCTATATTTCCTTTCCCATATAAATCTATGTATTGACGGCAATGACAAACTAAATAAAAAGAGTTGAGTATAAGAAATTCATTGTAGAGTTTGGGGAAAAAATGTAGAAAGGTTTGGGAAAGAAAGGGCAAAAAGGGTATCGTCAGGGCACTAATTTACTTCAGGGGCAACAGGGTGGATTCTTTTGACTAAAAAGGCACCCCCTGTTTACCTTGCCTAGAATGAGCTCTGATGAAAGTAGACAGAACAGTAGAATTTTTTTCAGATTGCTTAGGAAACAAAATTTTTTCCATCAAATTACAGTAAAAGTTAATTTTAGTAAAATTATTAAATTAATGAACATATGGCAGTACAATGAACAGATGGAAATTAAAATAAAATCATGTTTTCTGTTGTATGTCAGGACTATATTCCAATTGAAATCTTATGACAGGCTTCTATTAATTTTGTCCTTAGACTGTACGGCAATGTTTTTGCAATTGGCAGTCATTTCAAAATATTTTATAGCTCTTCAGTTAGTAGTATTATCGTTATATATAGTTAATTTTGACATTCGATAAGAGAAAACAAACTGTTAGTTTTCTAAACAGAAAGCAGCAAATTTTACTTTTTTTTTCTATTTCTCTAGTATTTTTAAAATAAATTTTTAAATTCCAGATTGTTTTTAGGATTTATAAGCATTAAATTATTTCAATTTCTTTTGACCCAGATTTTATCCCTTGTTATTTAGGGAGAAAGTTGGATATTGAGGTGGAATTTTTATAAAAACTTACTTGAAAGTAAAATGGTTTGTCAAGTTTAAGGAAAAATTGATTTTGCCTTAACATGTTATTATAAAACACGCATTTTCTATTATATTTTAGCAAATAATCAAATTTGTTTACTCTATTGAACTACATTTTTCTATCAAAATCATTGAAAAACTAACATTTTGTATTCATGCATCTTACAGAAAATGAACAGCACTTTATAACAAATTGAAAAAATTTGTTTGTACGGATTTTCATTTCATGGACCCCCAATTTTTTGCCCACTTGACATGGACTCCTTGCAGGTTGTCATCGACCCTCGGGGGTCGATATAGACCACTTTGGGAATCACTGATCTAGACCAACACTTCACACTATTTACTTTATTATTTTTAGGTGAAGTATTCTGAAGAATTCACTAAAAGAATATTAAGTAAAAAGTATAGTAACTTATTTTATTGTTGGATACCAGAGCTCTTGGTGGCACAATTGGTAAAGACATCTTTATCGTTCTTGGTTGAGAGCTAGGTGTCGTAAATCGGACGCTAACAATCGACTGAATTGGCGTGTGTAAGCAGCAAGGTGCATGTTTAATATGCTGCAGTTGAAAGTCATCTCATTCATTGTGGTGTGGAAGATTGGACAGAGAGTTACCAACTCGGGTACTGTCCTCATCACCTGATTGGGGTCAAAATTACCTGACATTTCTGCAATGGCTGTTAAAAGAGGATTGGGTGCTTGGAGATTGGTTAGCCAAGCACCCAACTGGTATTGGTATTGTTGGTTGATTGGTGTGTTGGAGACTAAATTTATTTTATTTTATTCATTTATTGTTATTATACATTTCTTGTTTTATATGTTATTATGTTTCTTGTTATTATACATTTCTTACATAAATATCTTTTTCAGAAAAAGAACAAAAGTATGCTGGACATGCAGAACCTGAGAAAAAAGGACTATTAGAAAAAATTAAAACAGCTATATTTGGATAATTATTCTGTATAATTATTCATTTTTTCCAATTTGAAATTTGTGATAGATTTTAACTTTGTTTTGACCACATGTATTATTAGATGTAAATGGAAATTTATATTCCGAAGATCTAGATTGGTCTACATCTTGTAAATTGTTTCAAGTTCAATAGTTTTATTTAAATATCAGTAAAACATTTTTTATTTAATGCCTCTCTTTATTTATTTATTCTTTAATAGTTAAGGGAATTATCTTTACAAATTGTTTTGATTGTTAATGTTAGTTTAAATGCAGAAAATTTATGTATGTTATGTATGTATACATTTAATTGTTGATGGATAAAACAGAAATAAAAGTTTTTAAAAATGTAAATATCTGTAGACAAATAAAAAAAATTTTGTTGAAAATATTATACTACTTTTTATGAAAGCAGTTTTAAAAGATTTCTGTGGCAATAAAAATTTAAAAAAAAAGCATTTGTTTTTAAATAGTGATGTTAATTTTCCCAATTTTACATACTTTGGACTAAGTTAAAATTTCCTTAAAACTGTTCCATACATGTTTCTAATTATAATCGAATATTTTTGTACTGTACAGCATCCCTTCTTTCATATGAAAATGGTTTCAAATTTATCCAATTGTGTAGGAAAAAAAATTATTAAAAAAAATTGCTAATTGTCAGACAAGGAATATCAAATAATCGGACTCCATTAGCAAAATAAAAAACTTGTTGAGATATTAAGAAATAAAATTCTGTGCTTTTACTGCAAAGAAGATACACTGCAAGGCATTTTCAATCTCTCTGAAAACATCTTTTTTAAGTGGCTATTTTGCACATCCTTTATGCTTTCTGTTTTGCCTATTAGGATTTTTTTTTTATAAATATAATTGTTTCATAAATATTTCTTAACATAATTAGCTAGTTTTGGTAAGTAAGACAACCATTCTTTCATATGAAAGTGGATTCAATCTCAAATGAATCTCATTGTACAGAAATGAAAAAAAAATATTGGAAAGCAAATTGTGTTAAGTATGTATATATACAAAAAATGGACTAATACATTGCATTTTTCTCCTTATTGAGACTCAATTTCTAAATTACGGTATTTGTGCAACCAATACTACAGTGGGTGATCGGTTAACGAACATAATCCGTTCCAAGACTATGTTCGCTATCCGAATTGTTCGTTAACCGATTATCGATTCACCATAGGCTTCTATGTGAAATCGATTAATTCGTTCTGGAGACCCTAAAAATTAAATTTAAAAAAATGTATAATTTCTTATTAAGTTTTTTAAAAAATAATACATACATATAGTCTTGCATATTAATCAGTCCTTTTCATTTTTTGCTTATGGGGCGTTGNATAATTAGCTAGTTTTGGTAATTATGACAACCATTTTTTCATATGAAAGTGGATTCAATCTCAAATGAATCTCATTGTACAGAAATGAAAAAAAAAATATTGGAAAGCAAATTGTGTTAAGTATGTATATATACAAAAAATGGACTAATACATTGCATTTTTCTCCTTATTGAGACTCAATTTCTAAATTACGGTATTTGTGCAACCAATACTATATATATTTTATAACTGTCATTGATCAGCCGCCCCAATTTTATGGGCTTACGACTATTAATGTTCAACTCTGTAGCCTTGTAATTTTGAACCCGATCCAGAAGACAAGGTAACTCCTGGATCGAGTGTTGGGAGAAATTTGCCTTCGTGGAGAACTTTTAATTTGATGCAGCTAACCCGCATTTGCGTTACATGGATAGGAAGACCACGAGGAGCTCCCACGGTTAGCCTGACGTCAAGAGGACTCTAACCCATAATCCGCCTACCACTGAGGATATTTTAAGTCAGCGCTGTGATCGGTGCAAGCCGCATGCGGAATTCGTATCGACTATATATTGCGTATTTCTACTGAAATAAGTTTTTTTTATATCTTCCTTCACTACTTCAAGAGAATTTTGTGTTATTTTGCTAAGAGAGCCAGAGTTCTCTCTAGGAATAAAAAAGGCCGAGGTGATTCCTCACAGAAAAGGGCACTTTGAATTTTGACCGTAAAAATTTATTGGTTTGTGTAATATTATGTAATAACTTAATTTGCTGCTCAACAATTTTTAAATTACCCTCCTTTACTATTTCAGAAAGTAGTTCTCACATATTATCAAAACAGGAGAAAAATTTCTAGTTGAAAAAATAATTAAAGGCATACTGAAAAAGACAATCTCTGAGCATAAATCTTTTTCAACCTAAGTAAACTAAAAAAAAAAAAAAAAAAAAAAAAAAAAAANACGATCAATTGGAACGAACAACTTGAAAGTTTTTTATTTTTAATTTAAACTGAAAATTCAGAAAAAAATGAGCATTTAAAGGTGCATATTTTTTTAAAAAGGGATTTATTTCAAAAAATAATTTTCAAATTTACCTAAAATATTTATTAATATACAAAAAATGTGAAACTTATAAAAATTTAACCACTAAAGAATAATCCTAACAAAGAATATATTTGAAATAGTAATCAGAATTGAAACTATTAACACAAATAATTTTACCGGTGTGTAATTATTATGTATACAGTGAGTTATTAATTTATTATTATTTTAAAAAGATATGAGTAAAGAGGCAGTGTTTTTAAGGAATAGCGACTTATTTTTTCGAAAAGGGCGCATTATAGGGATGAAAGAGCAGCTAGGACGGGCCGTCCTATCCGAACAGGACATTGAGAGAGCCATATATTAACAATCGGATTTCGTTAACGAAATTATGGAAAATTGAAAAGGAAATGTGAGTTATATCGACTAGTTAATATTTTCATTTTTGCTTCTATCTTAATTGTAGATTTTTAGTATTTTGCCATGTTTGTCTTAGTTTAAATAGTAATACGATTTCTTTAAAAGATTAAAAGGATTCAACGAAATTTCAATAACTCGTAAATATATTTTAATTTATTAAATTCCAAAGAAAGAAGTGAAATAGTATTAGGTTTACCACTAAGTAATGACTTAAAAATTTGAAATCTTCCAATTTTGTTTTGTTTTGTTTCTAAAGCTGTTTTGTTTTTTTACAATTTTTTTTTTAATTTCTATTTAAAAAAAACTATTTGAACTTAAAAATAGTAAAATCTTTTTTAAGTATATTAGAAGAATTTTTGCTTACATATTGTAAAAAAAATTTTTTTTTTCTCCTACAAAACTTATTTTATAAAAAGGAAATTTTCTTTTTATATTGTGAAAGTAAAAGAATTTTTTTTTTAAATATAAAATTTAAAACAATTCTTTTCAAAATACACAAATTTAAACTATAAAGAATTAATTAATTTAACGACTTATAATATTTTAAGGTCGAATTAAACCAAGTTTAAAATTTTAGTAACTAATAATTTTTAGTAGTTCTAGAAATAGAAATTTAATATGATAGTATATTTACATTAAAACAGTATATTATATTGAAACAGTATATTTAAGATCAAATTCGTTCTAAATTGTTCTTCCGACTCTTCGATTACCAACAGAAAAGTTTAATCGGTTTTCATTTTAAACCTTCTATTTTTCGTATAAATAATCAATTTTGTGTAAAAATCAAATTATTTTAAAACAAACTTTTTATTTTAATACAAAATATTTTCCAATGCTACACTGACTATATTTTTTGTCACTTTTTCTTCAAAATAAAAATGAGCCGTGTTAGGTCAGTGGTTAGAGAATTGGATTCCGGGCCTGAGTTCGATCCACAACTCTCCTAAGACCTACTGAGTACATTCGATGTACGTGCTGGTAAAATCCGTGGTGTCGAAAATCCTGTGGCCTGTTGCTGAGCAGTTACCATGGATACAGGAACATAGAAAAAATTTCCTTTCCCTTTAGAGCAACGTCTAAATTGAGAAAGTGGCCTCACATAATAGTGATGGCATGTCCTTTGGATCATCCTCAGAGTTGTTTTCCAGATCGTCGCTAATAGCCCAAGTGAAGCTCTTGTGTCGTAAATGAAGTACCTACCTAAATATCAAAATAAAAATTCATATAATATGGTAGGTACTTTATATACGTCGCACTAGAGCTGCACAGTGAACTATACTGGCGAAGGTCCTGGAAACATCTCTGAGGATGATCCGAAGACATACCATTGCAATTTTGATCCTCTGCAGAGGGGGTAGCTCCCCTGCTTTGGTAGCCAGACGACCAGCGAAGCAAAGTCGAGCGCTTTACGGTAGAACAGTTTTACGAGGACCAATACCGCGCACCCTCGGTCCCTATAATGTAAAATATTTAGAAATTGAGAGTTTGATTGGTGCATTTAAAGTTGAATGATCAAACCACACTCATTACGAATGTTCCCTAAATTTGTAAAAATCGTGCATTGTATTTTAAATGACGATCAAAATGGGCTGCAGGGGGAGTATCTCAGAACTCTCTACTTATGGCAATACTTCATATGTTTTCACCATTATCGTTTGGAGAATCAGAAGGAAGGAAGCTAGTTTCTGTTTTTAATCTGTTGATCTTCAAATTGGTATTTATTAAAAACTTCTAAGTTAGGAAACTATATGGAGCTAAAAACTACATTCAACATAGTTCTAAAAGAACTTCTCCCCAGATGGCGCATACGAGCTTTGCAATCACGAATAGTCTCAAGATTTTAACTTTTTTATTGTAGTTTATTTTTCTCAATGAAATATTTAAAGTACTAATAAAAGAATTATTACTCAACCTTTCTAAATAATTAATAACAGTTAATCGATAAACTTCTCAAAAGTTGAAGAAATTCGGAGCGGGCTCCAAAAGCTCCGTGTCGTGGAACTAACTAAATAAAACTATATTTAATGAAATCATATTTAGTTTAAAGAAAGTAATGTTTAATAACATTTATGTAATAGTATATACAATATTAAAACACTGTATTTTATATCAAAAATCTGCATGAAATATAGTTAAACAAATCAGTGTTTAATAATGTTGCTATACTATTATAATTATGAAAACAGTGTATTTAGTATTGAAAATAGTATATTTAATATTGAAAATAGTTTATTTAATATTAAAAAAATGCATCTTATACTATAATTAATATTAAATATATTATTAAAGATTGTAATAAGATGTGTGTACGGGCGGCACAAGAAAAATTAAACTCCATAATAATTACTCTCTGTAAATTGGTATTAAATTTTACTTTTTATGTAACACATTAAAAACAATAA